TCAGTTACTGCAGAGGAGCCCGCAGGGATTGTGATCGAGAACACGTTAAATATACGGATCACTCTGGGGAGCACTGCCATTCCAAGAGCGCTGTCTTCTGATCCAGGAACGTGCGTGGTGTGTGTATCCAGGTATTTAGGTCTTCTTAAATTTTTTTTTCAACAATGCTTTGAGTTTACAGAGATTTATTTTACTTTTTTTTTTCCCCTTTATACTGAGGACAAGGGTGCAAGGTACCGGGATCCGAAGTGTATTGGGCCCCGCCACTTGCTACCACCATGGTCGCTGCGCTCTTGCTTCACCCGCTGTACAATCCTGCACAGAATAGGATGTCAGTAACTCTCTCTTGAATTAATGATTATATGGTTGTTGGATGATGCTTGAGAATCCTTGTGATGATGTCTCTTTCCCAGCATTTCCCCACTTCTTAACTATGCCCTTTCTCTTCCTTTCCTCCAGCCTGGATTTCAGCCTACCTGTGGCATTGATTCTTCTTGTCTGTAGACTCTTCCTTTCACTTGTTCATGATAATGTTTCATGTGGGCTGTGGAAACTTGCTAGATGTCAAGATAGAGCGTATCTATTGCATGCTAGTATTTTTAGAGTGAGTTATTGTTTTATAGATTGAAATTAAATCAGCTTGACCCTCTGAGCCCTCCTGTGAGCTCTTATCGCCTTCCTACAAGTGATACTCCTCTGGTTGCTGCGTGTGCCCTTCCCCCAGCCTTGGTTTTGGACTTGAGTAAGTCACCATCAGTGGAGCCCTCTCTTTAAAAGATGAAGAGAACATTTTCTCCTTCTCCCTGGTTGGGGACTTGGATGACATGAGGTACCAGATAAAGAATGGAGCCCCACCTCATTCTGACCCCCGCTCTTTCCCTTCCTTTCTCCAGGGGAAAAGAGTACAATTCAACAGTATAAAGACTGTGAGCTAATGAGATAGACAAGACAACCGATCATTTATTAAATACACTTTTCATGCCAGAAACAAATGTATTATACACACAAAAAGCACATAAATTTCGGTAGTACT